TCTGCTTACAGACATGATGTGTTTTAAATGGTCATTTTTTAGTTTAATACCTTGAAATACATATACTACAATTTTCAAAATCTTTACTAGTTAAAAAACAGAAGTACAATGCACTGTGCCTAATTCTTGTGCAGAACCCAAATTAAGTAGGCTTTTTGGAATGACAGCATCATTGAAGAAATTCAACAGCAGAAGAACATCTCCCCCAATAAACTATGATTCAGTTAACAAATTAAGCCTGTAATAAATGACAGTGCAACAGAATCAAAGACCAAATAAACTCTGGGCTTTAGCATTCCAATTTAGTCATTATCAAAACCCCATTAATTAACTGTGACAGGTCACCAGACACAATAGGCACATCACAGTAGGGATAAACAAACAACAACAACAACAACAACAACAACAAAAAGCACCAGCTCTTAACATTTGTATGACTTCCTTTTGCTTCCCAACTTGTTTCACATTCAGATGCATCTTGTTTTCTAGATGCTTATAAAACAAGTTCTACTGGTAACACAACACCTAAATATGTTATAAATTATAACTTTCAAAAGAACGTGAAACGTTTTTACACAGTACTAGCTAATCCTTAGTGAATTCTACACACATAAATTTAGTGTAAGGGAAAGATTAAGTTCTAACAGTTGTCTCCAAATCAAAAGGATTACTTAACTCACTGTTCTAAGCGTGGCATGAGCTTTTGAATGGACTACTAACAAAGTCCTCATAACACCTACACCTTGCATTCCAGAAATCCATTCCAGAAGCGAGGGAAAACATTACAGCGTTAAGACTATTGTGATATATCACAATGATCATTGAAAATTGTACATTCAATGTGAAATTAAAAAAAAAAAAAAATCTAGTTACCATTGTGGCAAAGAAGCTTATTAGTAAATGAGAAAGTTATTTAACAACACAGTAGCTCTGCTACATTTTGGAATATGGATTTCAATTATACTTACATTTAGCAAATCCATCCCCTGGATAAATATATCTATTGTACACATCCATAATATATACCCGATGATCATCCATAAAGTCCCTCTCATGGCCATTTCCCTGAAGGAAAATTACAGTTAGCTATTCCTAGCATACTAACACAGAATTAAATAATTTGTGAATTCTAGAGTAATTAAGACTACAAAGATCTAATATTTAAAACGCCTGTGACATTCTCTTATTTATAGTCTTGAAGGTTATTTTGAGGTGTAGAATTTTGGTGGCTTTGACAGCATCAGTCTGAAGACTGCAGGTATTACCAAAATCAACATCCTTATATCTCTGTGAAGGCAATTATCATAGATCTCATCGCACATATAAGAAAAATAAATGAAAATTAGAAGCTAATTGTCTCCAGCAGCATTACAAAAGCAACTGTGCCCACCAAACAGATCTCTCATCTTTCAACTGTGAAAAAAAAAACCGAAACCAAAAAAGTCACCTTCAACTGCTGCAGGGATACTTATACGCTTATACAAGGATTAATAAATAAATAAATAAATCAGACTACAGCTCTTCTGATAATTCAAGCCTTGGTGAGATAAGTAATCCCTGGAAAAAATTACAAACACTAAAGACCCAACAGTTTAAGATATTGTTTAACACCAGGAATTCCCTACAAAAAGATTGTATGTGGTGTAAAGATGGATGCTCAAGAGAAAACTCAGATTCTGAATATTCCCCCCCACCCCCATTTCTGAATTTAAATAGTATTATTTTGGCTCTCATTTAGACTTCTTTTCCACTGGTATAAAAATCATCTTTTCACAGCAATCGCTAAGATGATTTTGCTGAAATCAGTTTATCATACAGGATCCCAACCCCTACCCCAACAGAATTTAATTTAAACTATAGAAACAGACATTTCCACAGATCTATCTTCTGTAATTCAGTTACATAATTTATGTCCCTGGGCAGTTAAGCTGTATTTCTGCTACAACCTCTGCTCCTGGAAACAAACAAACAAACAGAATTACTAGGCTAAAGCTAGTCAATGTGTGTGAAAAGCAGAATGGGAAGCTTTGTATTTCTTTATGCTAAAAAATGGCAACTCCTACTTATTTCTTTAGCACTTTTGGTCCACAAATAAACAGTTCATGAACAGAAATCTAGGAATATTAGAGCCTCTGGGTGAACTATTTTCTTATGAAAAGTGAAATCACCAATGCACCAAGAATTGGAACACTTACAAGATGAGAATATGTGCATATTTAAAAAGGATTTGCTGAGCTACTACTTCACACACACCTCATTCCACAAAGAAAGGAAACAAAGGGGTGATTAAGTGTGCAGACTGAGATTACCAGCATGATACCTGAAAACCAAAATACATTCCAAGACATTCTTAAACAACAAAACGAAAACACCCCAAAAAAGCACAAAAAATCCACACCCTGACAGACATGGCTGAAGAGAATCATGAACACAAAACATCCTTCTATTGTATAATCTATGTCCTTATTTCATAGTAATTTTAGGATGCCTTAACATGCAGCTAAGAGAAATGATTGAAGATGCAAAACTTGCAGCCATTAGAGCTGCCATGGAGGTACTTAAAAATGGCTTATTTACACATACTAAATTATCTTCAATGCTTCAGATTGGACATAATTTTGGTGCATTAACTGCTTTTCTAAAAATACTATTTCCCTCCTTTCAGGATTTATTTTGGAAATCCTAACAAAGATAAGATTTGTTCTCAGTTACCCATGGTAAATCACTTCACACCAGGTGAAGAGCGATGTATTCATTACTTCATTAGCCTGAAGCCAGGCTTTCCATTAAAACACTGAAGGTCAAATTCATCCCCTGCAAAGGTTGCTGCAATGATCATGCATGCTGAATTAACTGTAATTCTGTTTTAAGATATTCTTGTTTCTTCTGGGACACTGATCTACTCTGGAGACTGTTACGCCTCAGACCAGTATGCAACTCAAAAATATTTTTACATCTAGCCACATGATGGAGCTACAACTCAGTTTAATTTTATTAAACTGGCTTAACAGCCTTTTGGACCATAAAATAATCAAACTAAACTGTTCACTGTTTCCATCATCTATGATTAACTTTGTATTCTGCAAGTTGACAGTTTATACTACTATTAGAAAAAAAATAGTATTTATCACACACTTGGATTTCAAGCAAAACATCTGCAGCACTGAATACAGGTAAGCTACTCACCTGATGAGCATCCAGATCAATAATTGTGGCTTTAGACACCCCTTGTACTCTTTCAAATAAGAACTGGATATATAAGCAAAGAAAAAGATGGAGAAAGTTATCAAGTTAGGTGGCAGATTAAACTGGAGGCTTGAAGCTTGCACAGTACATTACTGTTCCAATCTGAACGTAGTGTGTGTCTATTCATTTAATTCACCAAATAAATAGCTAAATTATTCTAATATATTTAATTTAAAAAGCTCTAGTTATTTCACATAAAAAGATAATTTTTGTGGTATACAATAGAAAAACTTAGACATTTCCACCAGATGAAATGCATGAAACATGCATTTCACAGTTATCTGTGCAGGTTATCTGCCTACCTGTAGAGAAAGTTGGTGGAGAGAGGGAAGAAAGAGATTTCTACTCATCTCCTCTTTCTCCCACAAAGTACCAGACACAACACAGGATCAAGGACATGTCTTTCTACAGCATTCCATGCTAAATTGTAAAGTAGACTCTGCAAATGAGGCATAAGTCCAATGACACTGAATAATGCAATGGAGCCCAGGGTAATAAACCCTGTTGTAGTAATACTTGCTCTACACAAGTGTAGCCAGTACATCTCTGCATCCCACACCAGCCAGACAGAAAAGGACAGGTCCAACTAGGGATTATAAAGCTGATTGTGGCATTGGTGCTGTCAGAGGCTGGAATGGAACCAATGGCAGCGTGGAGAAAGCAACAGCAAAAACTGGGTTGGGACAGGGTGAAGCAAGAGCTACTCAGGCCCCAAAACATTGAGGAGCTAACTTCATGAGACACAAATATAGCACAAGTGAGACTTATCAACAGGAAGGGAGAAACAGTCCACTGTGATGGCATCCAACTGTATAAGCATAAATTCCACCATTTAGGAAAAGCTGCTGTAGGGACTGTGTGCATTAAAGCCACTTTTAGTAACAGAATTCATTTCTTATTCCATGTCTGTAAAAAAAAATAAGTTTTAATTCTTTGAGTCTTAACTTTGATAAGTTACTATCTTTAATATAGACATGGTAAAACCCAAAGATTTTGTACAAACTGTCACCAGCTGTAATTTCTCAATCTGTATTTTAATGATAGGGAAAACAGAACATTGTGTATTACTTTTCTGCAAATTACCACGTACAGAAATTAGGATGCTATGTCATATGGTTTGCTGCAATCATTAGAGCTTTTTTACATTTGATTATTACTGATACTTCATAAATATTCTACTATATAAATATATCATAGTACATTTGATAAAAATAAGCCCTAATTGAGAAGGCTATTGCTAGAGCCTTTCAACAGCTAAAGCCTAATGTATTCATTCACATTCAGTGATTTTTTTTTGGAGACATTCACATTTTTATTCATGAATTTGAACCACTCTGAGCACTGTATAGTGCAGCTTAATTCAGAGAGAGGATTTCTGTCTCTGCATTTGTCTTGATTGTAACCACTGAAACTAATGTGGAGTTTTCAGGTTCAACTGCAAGGCTAGGATAATTATCACTGAGGATATTAGAAGTGAATCTGGTTTGATTTTGAGTGTTTTCTTGCAGGAAGACATTATTAATGCATATTTACATGCATAATTCTGATCTCTGCAACTCTTCCCTTCCACTTAACGATACTTCATGTGCGTTATGTTCTGCAGTATCAAGTACCACACCATTTTCCTATTCCCACCCACCTATAGATGGCTTTATTTTCTCCTATTAAGATGTCAATTAGTTCTTATGAGTTTATGTGGATTTTTTTTCCATTTGCACAAATAGTAGAAAATACCAGTTTAAGAGTACTTCTTACCTTTATAGCCAGCGTGATATCAGCATATGCACAAAATCCTCCACCTTTGTCACTTGAACAGTGATGAAAACCACCCCCTAAACATAAAAACGTTGAAGACGTGAAAAGCTAGATACATAGATGGTCGTCGCAAAGAGACAGAGATCACTTACATGTCAGGCTCTTTTTTTTTTTCCTTTAGCAAATACCACGCCTAGAGCTGTTAAACCCTTACCTAGCAACACAAAACATCTCATAGGGTTTCTGTACGTATCTTATGTGTGGCCTACTCAACCATCAGGCAAAGGATCTGTAGATGCCCAGATTAAAGGGAACTGTCCCTTTCATCTAGCAACCACCCTAAAAACTGAGAAATGTACACACATAGCACACCGTGCCTCCATGACAAAGCACACCACTTTGAAAGTTCAGCTCCCCCAGGCATGTTGGAGTTGCATAATTAACATTATGAGGCAGGTGGAAAGGATATGTGGAAAGTTCTTTTCTATACTGAACACCAGGTCAAAAAACCCACAAACTAAAAACTATGGTGTTATGATTATTTGCACATGCCATTGTCTTTTGCAAACACTCAGACCAGAAGAAACCTTAAGAACTCCTCTTTAAAAGACACACACACTCTACATGAAAAAAGTACTTAGACCTCCCCCTCCCAAAACATAGTTTTTATATAATAAACCAGAACTTTTCACTGAGAAACACACTACAAATATCTAAGCAAGAAACTTAACAAGCTCGCTTTATATATCAGTAAACATGACAGGCTTTTGGGTTTGGTTTTAATGTCTATTTAATTTTTAATATTGGATATTCACTTTGTAGAAGATGTGTGTAAGAAATAACGGAAAAATCCCAGAATTGATGAGCTCTATGAGAATGACAAGCTAAGTCTTACATGACACAAAATATTGCTTCGATAGTTTACCAGTTTCGCATTGCTATTTGCTATGAGCAGGAGAACAGATTTGTGTTCACTATATTCTTCATAACTTGTTCATTCAAGTCTTTTTCAAGAAAAACTGCACAGCCAAAAATAGACACTAACTGGTACAGCCCTGCTCTCCAGCATATCAACCAATCCCTTGATCTGGTATAATATATAAATTAGCTGATGATAAGATCTATGAAAATTATTTTACAACTTAATGAAAACAAAGATTTTATTGAAATATTTACATTTACTCCAAACATTTTTCCTTAATTTTTTTCACACTACTTCAATCCAAACACTTTTCCTTATATATGATAACTTTATCCAGTTATGGGTTTTTTCTTTCCAAAAAGTATTTTATTTAACTATAAAACTGCAATATGGGTGACAGTGGACAAGAAAACAAATCCAGTACTTTTTCCATTTTTTTTTCCTTTAGAGTTGATTTTAGTTAAACACAACCCAGTCACATTCTTTTATTACAAACAGAATACACATCATGCTAAATAAAAATAGTGATTTTAGACATCCTATTTCAAGTATCATTTAATGTACTACATTTGTACTTACCCACATTGATCGCCCAGCCTCTATCAACAGCAAGTTTTCCTGCCTTTAGAAAATTACAGTGAGAACTTCATGAATGAACAAGGCAACCATTTAACACTCTCTACTTCCACCCCGCTGCAACTCTTGGCATTCAGACACGCCCATTGAATTTTCGGATATTTTACCACTGCAGGTCATTCTGAATCAGATCTCGGAATATGAGCCATACAAAACTATCCTCAGCATAATTAGTTGAAAAAAATATTTGATCTCTCATCTGTATTTCATTCTCTGGCAGTTGAACAGATCTGAAACTAACTGCGCTTTGCAGACATGAACACCGACCCCTAGCAGACAAATGAAAAAGGGAAAGTACAAGTGTGCGTAAGAGTAAAAAATGAGCATCCTTCCTGTTCATGTAAAAATAGGAGGAATGCAAGCTCAAAATCCTGAAAAATACAGATTAACATAGTTTCAGCTGGGGGTGGGGACAGAAAAATGCTACATTATGGAGTGTCCTGTGACTTCTTTTATTTTTTAAATCATATAACATGCACAGTATAAAACATTACCAATCTTTTTTCTTCCAATACCGGAAAACTGTGCCTGTATCTCTCCTTTGAACTCAAATGACATTTGGGAAAGCAAAAGTATTGACAGAGAAGAGATACACAAGGCTTGAATAATGAAATTTTAATTGAAAAAAAAAAAAAGACTTATTTTGGCCAGGATGAGTCAAGGAGGTGTTTAACTGCAGTATTCCTTAAGTGTCATGTTAAAAAAAGATGATGTCACTAGCTATAATTAAAAAAAAAAAAAGAAAGTAAAAACAGATTTTTTTTTTTTCCATAATCGTGGAACATATTACACATCATATATGAAAGGAAGTTTAGACAGTTGAGAATTCTTCATTACCAATATTTATATTTGAACAGTTCTAATTCAGTATTAAGAATTAACTACTGGGAAGGTAAACATCATCCTGTTATGAACATGCTAACTTACACAAATTATATTTTGAGAAAAGACTGTAGTTTCTGAACTATAAAACCCATTAAGTCGCAGGGAAAGCACATTATCTGTGATTTAGTGTACTTCCTAGGGATTCTTCACCAAAAAACAATCTTCCCATATTGCCAAAAAAATCATTAAAAAGTGAAGAAACTCAACAGAAATTTTCATGATAAACAGGACCATCAGGAATAGCAGAAGATTGTACTTCTGACTTGTACTGTACAAATTTTATTGTCTGGTGAATCAAAATTGCTTATAAAGTACATACCTATTTCCCCATAATGAAAAATAAAAACCATAAAAATAACAGCATATGGCATCAAGATCAATCCAAAAGTGACCAGTGACATCATCTGTATTTCCGGAGCCATGATACATAATAGATAACTAGTGGATATCTCTTCTACATGACCACATTTATAACTAGTGAACATGCATTTATGAATTAAAGATAATGCAAGCACAATGAAAAACATCACAAAACTATACAAAAGTATTGACTAGTTAGAGCCAAGTTGAAATAGATTTCACACACACATACTGTCAAGACCCTCAAGAAATATCAAAGGTAGAGTATTAGGAAACTCTAGACTCTTCCCAATTATTTTTCTCTTCTACCATTTCCTTCATTCCTCATAACTATTGCACAGAAAGACAGCATGGCTATAATAAGAGAAGACTCTGCATGTTCCTATTCAGACAGGACCAAAACCCCTCATCTCAGTAACCACTATTGACTGCAGTCAGAAATACAGCACAGAAGAGGGAACTGACCAGGAGTCTGAAGTGATGCTGGAGGACTAAATGGAGCTACTTCTTTGTCTGTGAGTGACAACCAAAAATTAAGCACCTTGAACTACATGAACCACATGAAACCAGAATTCTTTCTCTCTACTACTACCCAGTCTATAACATCAGATTTAAAAAAAAAAAAAAAAAAAAAAGTCAAACTACCCTAACTTCCCAGCAGCCCACTGAAAGCAAGATGGACTACACAGATACCAGCAAAACCAGTTTGGTGCTATCTCCAGCTCCTGCTGGTAAATTGCCAGGAGAAGATGTTCCAGGTGGTTTATGCAGGTTTGCATTAGGGAGATGCACTGCATTCTACTTCTATCGTTTCTGCTTTTGCCAGCTAACACCTACTAAAGGAGGTAACACTTTTTGTTATCTAGCCTATTACCATAATCCAATAAGCCTAAAGACTTATCCAGAACCTTGCATGTTCTTTCCAAACTTATGTATTTAAATTGTCTTTAAAGGTTGATTTAACATTTTCAGTAGTTTATCTGGTTTTCTCATACAGACTCAACAAAAGCATCAGACATTGCTACACTGTACAAACACTTTCACATATTTCCTTACCTCACTATTCTTTGACTTTAAATAACATGTACGTCCAAGGAGACATAGCAACACAACAGAATTAAAGTAGAATTAGCAAATGGCATTTAAGAGGTGAGAACAACAATAGCTGGAGAAACAGAGTCCAAGGTGGGCAAGGTACATACAACTTTTATTTTCTAGAAGAAAGCCATTTCCCACTCACAAGCCTGAATTAAAACCAGACTCAGCAACCTGCAAGGATACTTAAACATGGTAAATGTCACAAGACTCACTATTGTCTTCATGATTTAGGAAGAAACCACTGGCCATTTTTATTTAACAGCCCAAAGCAATTAGCAGGTTAAGTCACTTCGTACAGACAATTTCAGCATCAAGGAGGTGACTTTCTGATCTTTCCCCAAGTTCAAAAAACTTACTGGAAATCTTCCTTAGCTGCTACTCTGCTATGGTTACAACTCTCACCTTTTCCTCCAATCATGAACAAAATTTTTCTGAACACAAGCGCATGGATGTCGATACAGTTTTCAACTATTCCGAGTACTTCACAGTATCATGAAGAGCTACATTATGTAAACACTAATAAAATGCACCAGTTTGCCACACAGCTCAAACCTCATGATATACTTGAGCTTTTTGAAGAGCTCCAGGCTTTTAAATATCTATGACCAGTGTTTTGGATATTACAAAGGGAGTTAAGATGACATGCCTAAAACAATTAAATCACACTGTTAGAAGACGTTTCTGAATCTTAACAGTACATATTTAAGCCCAGTCACAAGTTGTCCAGTCCATTCTATTCCTTTCTCTACTACCTTTTGGTAACAAAAGCCAACAACTGGCAGAGAGTTACTTTTGCACACACATTTTGCAAATCCAGCAGCTGGATGGGACACAGATTTAACAGACTACTAAAATACTGAAAGAAGTTGCCATTTTTTTCTCCCGATAAGGAATCAGGCATTGAGTAGTTCCATCATTAAAAAAATAAATATAACAGAAAAGCAGGATATTTCATCTTGCCTTAAAATCTGAAAACAACTGGCCCTCTACTTTCATTTCACATAGTAAAACCCAAGAAGGCTGAAACTTAATAGTGCCCAGATCCACTTATACACACAAATGATAGTAGCAACAGTTAATCTCACATCAGCCCCATGAAATTAAAGAAAACTTGGAGAACTGCTTCACCAAACTTTTGAGCTCACTCACATCATTCTCATAGGTCAGACTCACAAACAGATTCAACCTTTTTCATTGTTTCTGAAAACCGTACTGCACTGCCTTTTATGCACTATTCATAGAAGAGCTCTTTATATTACTTATGCCTTTAATGAATCTTGATATATTCACTAAGGTAAGCATTTAAAAATAAGAAACCTTGATTCCAGTGCAAATTACTAAGTACCTACATTTCTGTTGACAGAAATGGGAAGCTACCTATTAGCCTATTTCTAAAAATAATGCCATTACTTTATCATTCATTTACGGCTTCCCAGACTTGCTCACCTTTTAATATCTTGTAGTTGCAATAAACTGTATTCTCATATCTGGCATAGACATACTCTGAAAGGTTTGCCAACCCACAGAATAGTGTTCTTCAATAACTGGCTTCAAATAGATATAGAAAAAGCAATATGGGCTTTTATCCGTTTCACATGCACCCACTGTAACAGTTACCTTCACAAAGAGTACCTAAAATGCAGCAGAGATCTATTTGTACTATAATATTAATGATTTCAGATAGGATTATTTGTCTTCCATTTATGTAACTATTACAGTTCAGTGCCTGTGAAGAGAGATTGGGACTGTTACCATCTTTTCCTGGCACCGTGCTGTATAGTTTCTGAACTCTAGCTCTAATATGACAAAGAATTATACAAAGGGCAGAAAAGGTTCCATTAGTTACCAGTTTACAATTATGGAGGAATCTTTTCTTCAATACATGGTTTAAATAACTCATTGTTAGCTCCAGCTATTAACTGTTTTCTTTCCTCCTACTTCCTCAACATCTCTAATGGCAATTCTCAGGCAAAATTAAATGTCTGGTGACACTTACACAGTTCTTCTGACCAGAGCACTCATTTAACTAATCAGAAAACCATTTTGTTAAGGTGAGACAGGCTATGTCTCACTTGAGCTCAGCTGAGCTGCTTATGTAGTACTTACAATAGAAAAAGTAGATAAACTGATTTTAATCATTAAAATGAGCAAGGTGACATGCTTTTTAAATTTAAACACTTACTTAGTCTCAAGAGCAACCAAACCATGCATCTCTTCCTATGCAGTACCAAGGCCATTTGGTAAATACGTGCTTTAAAAATAGCTTTTATATTATCAATTTTGAAAACTCCCATTCCTAGAGTTTGCCTGTATTTGAATACTGTTCAAAACTAATTCAGCTTCTGTATTTGTCATAAGTCCTGCCATATCTATCATTGCTTGCCCAGGCTGCCCCTTACTGTCTCTTCCGCTTCTACAAATTACAGACCATAAAATCAGGTATGTCCTTCACCTTGGCAGTTGCTAACAAGCAGCAAACTTTGCTCGTGTTTAGCACTGTACATTAACTCACTTCCCTCTACAGGCCTCCAGAGCTCAAGCCTTTGAGTTACATAAAATATTAAAACTCGCAGGTTTATAGTGTTTTGATCAAAAAGTTTAAATGGGATAAAAGTGAATCAAGAGTACCTTACCATTATTGTTCCTCCTGTCTGGGTTCGTAGAGGTTTCAAAACTTTTCTCTGAACAACGAAATTGGGAAGAAAGGCAACTGGTGGAATTTCTGTGATTGTAGCCACAACAAATGACCACTGCAAAGGTGAAAAAAAAGTTCCAATTAGTGTAGCCTGTCTTAATGATGACATTTAGATCTCTCATCAGTTGCTATTTACTGAAAACGACCTTGCAGGTCCTTAGCAAGATTTTTTAGTATTTTTAGATGGAGGTGACCACAACAGTCCTTATTAGTAACCTCCAAATAGGTTTGTCCTCAAGTTGTTAACTGTACGAATCATCACTTTTAATCACCACCCCTAGGTTTTTCAGTTTTTAGTATCAAATGATAATAAATCAGCAATTTTTCAGCAAGCTAATATGTCAGAAAATCTAATATCCCTGGGATTGGGAGGAAGAATTGTAAAATGTCCTTCAGCCGTACTAATAGCAAGCTACGCTTGATATATTGTTCAAACCTAAAATATCTTTTCCCATGTCAAGTCAAAAGGATATACCAAGGAGAAAAGAAACAGAAACAGACAACTCCGCTAAGAAGTTCAAATACGTAAGTGAACACACAGTGCAAATTCTAGTATGGAGAACTAATTAAAATTTATTTAGCATATTAAACACTTCTGGAAAATGTTTCAAGGAAAGATTTTGTTAAAAAGTCATATCATCAAGAATATGATTTGAAGGTTAGAATACAAAATATTTGCAATATGTAAATGCCTGTTTTGCAAACACATCAAAGAACTTCTACCAACATTGCTACCAGCGATAATACTTCTAAATATATTTCAAAGCATCACTCACAAGCCTCTTCATCCAATAGTGAAATATTCAGGTACCAAGACTTACAAATTTGACACCCTGTACAAAGATTCTGAATAGATCCTATTTTCTTTAGCATTAGGAAATTCAACTAGATTCAGTACATTTATTGCCCGATTACTATTAGCTGTCTATTTACAAATGACAGGATGTACAAGTGGTCAATTTTAACCAAAGACAGACAATCACATGTCAATTTCAGGGTCCTTTGATATTCAAAAAAACTTAAGCTACTTTGTTTTCCCAGTTATCAATGTTTCACCTATGAAGGACTATTGGGTGGGGTAGAGGGGCAGCATTATTCATAAAGTTCTTAACTACTAACTGTATTTTGTCAACAGTTCATTTTAAGGTCTTACTACTTTTATATTTGTAAGACATTATTCTGTTACTATACTATCAGCTCTCCATCATTAACAAACTGCTTTAATTATTTTGTAATACAGTCAATCTTGATAAAGTCCTGTGGCAAGATATTTTAACATTTAAACAAGCATAATGTAAAAAACTAGATTCAATCCTGTTGTTCTAAAATGGAATTTAAAAGGCCATATTTGGATAAAATAAATTTTAATCTCAGATGTGAACAATGATCACAAAATTTCAGAAAGTTTTAATGCAGTTTAAAAAAATTTTAATCTCAATGGGAAGAAGTGGGAGCAATAAAGACTCAAATCTACACGTATGCTGCTGCAGGTTTAAGTGAATGCAAGAAATCCGGACATGGGACAAGTCAAGAGTAAGCAAAGCTTTCTTTTTGCAGCTGAGGACATTTACAGAACATTGGCAAGCCCGAAGACATTCACTGCTTCAGCCTTAGTCCTTTACTGTGTTTATGTAATTCCTAACACGGGGGGAAAAGTCATTTGACTGTGAGGAAAGTCTTGGGGTTCAAGAATGCAGTTAGAAGACTAATGAAAATGCTTCTCAAAAAACACCACTGTAATAATTGAGAAAAATATTGCCTCAAACTGTGGACACTTCTGCGCTTTTTTCTTCAATGTGCTAATTTTGTTTTCCAACATTTCCTGCAATAAATTCTCAGAACAGCTATGTATATACTCGAAAAAGAATTCAAAAGGAATTGGTTTATATAATCTTACACTTTTTCATGTTGTAAACATAAAAAATTATTTTGAACAGATGAGGACTACATTAATCGTTTTACAGACTGTCAGTTGGCTGCTATAACACAAGTCTTCACACATACTAGTCTCCTTTGAGAGAGAACAAACTCTTCAAAAATTTTTTTTTTTAAAATCACTATTTTTTGCATTGAAATCACATATATCAGAATAATATCAGTTACTGCTTCTTTTGGTAGATACTTGCTTTCACTCAGCCATCATCAAATTACTGATTCACTAGTAAAGTTTTGTAGACACGTAATTATATAACTTAACAGAAATTAAAACTTGGTCTGGATTCAGGGAAGAGTAATAATCATATATAAACACTATTCAATAACATGACTTCACTTATTCTTTTTAGTTATCAACTCCATTTAATTCTTTATTTCTATTGCTAATATTGTAAAATTTTAAAAAATTATTTATCTTCCTGTGTTTTGGACAAATAATTCAATGTATGAATTTAAGTTTCAATTTTTAAAAAAATTTCACTCCCTGTTTTCTTAAAAAGAGTAAAGAAGTCAGGTTAGCCCTTAACCAGGTATATTCTCCTTTAATACATGCCTCCTATCAAATTAACTGCTAGGCAGTATCAGCAGTGTAACACTATACCAAGATGTTAGGTCCAAAAAAATCCTAAAAACAAAACAAAAAAACCCCACCCCACAACTTCGAGAGTTCTCAGTTTTCCTTGCTTAAGCCTAAACTCTACAATAACATATATTTTAACAAGGATATTCTTGCAGGACTTTATTTATAAAGTATTATTACTATTAACTTTAATTCCTTAACTATAAAATCTCTTCTTAGTATGGTTAAATGACTTCGCAAATTATTTCAAATTGTTAGTGTTCAAGGAACAAAAGTTAAACTGGAAAACTAGTATTAGGAAGATAAAGCTAAAGTAGTTGCTTTTATGCTGATAAATCCTGGATTAATGATCAAAACCAACCTCTGATGTACTGCCTTTTATGTTATGCATTCAGTGCATTCCAGCATTTTAAAATATCCAACAACACGTCAAATTCTGAATAAATATACAATTTTGTTCTTTAATACCTAAATTTAATCTGTGTTTAAATCTTTGGTAAGTTCCTGGAGCTAGTCCCAGCTTCAAGGGAAAATCCACAGACTTACAAATCCAACACCACGCAACTAACATGATTTTATATTCAGAAGCTTGCCTGAGACAAAGCTATTTGGGTCCATCTTCAATAGATAAAGTATGTTTTTAGCTTGAATTAACATAAGATAAAATCATAAAGGAGAGTAGGAAGCTTGTAATTTTCACAAAAGTTTCTAGGTCAAGGTACAAACACACTATTACCATTATGAATAAGATACTACACTGGTAGAAACTGATTATAACCAGGTGCTGCTCCCAAGAAAACCAACCAGCGAAAAAACAATTTCTGTGCATCAGTCTCCCAACCAATGAGTTGGAAATATTAAAAGGAAAGAAACAAATCACTGTTAACTAAATGCTACCCTATCCTTTTCTTTAAGAGGTCTAATAGTTACTTTAGCTACAAAGAATGCCCTACAGCATTTGCACAGCGGTGTAAATACTGAAACCTGTCAGACCTTGTTCCCTGAGACCAAGTATTCTTGTTCAGTGTCCTCTCCAAGCACATTCAAATACCATTACCTTTAAAATAACGTTTTTGTATATTCCTACAGACCTTTACCTAACACATTAACACTTACATGAAAACTTAGGTGAAGAGGATCAAATTCATTTATCTGCTCTCATGACTTTTTAAATGAACATTTTATAACAAACCACCACCACTAGCCTTCATGAAGTTTGAAAAAATTGAGCAAGGAAAAAGCACAACATACGGAGCAAACAGAAACAACAGATGACAGCACAAAAACTGCATGAACTGAGGAACTAGCCAAGGGAATTTTAAGCACTTCTGAAGGTGCCCATTTTATCCAAACCAAAACCACACATTTTCAGCTGCCGAGTCACCTATGGTCACTAATACAATGCTGTCCTGGTTTCGGCTGGGATAGAGTTAATTTTCTTCCTAGTAGCAGGCACAGTGCTGTGTTTTGGATTTAGTAGGAGAAGAATGTTGATTAACACACTGATGTTTTTAGTTGTTGCTAAGTACTGCTTATGCTAGTCAAGGACTTTTCAGCTTCCCATGCTCTGCCAGGTGCACAAGAAACTGGAAGGGGGCACAGCCAGAAGAGTTGATCCAAACAGACCAAAGGGCTATTCCATACCATATGACGTCATGCTCAGTATATAATCTGGGGGCGGGGGGGGGGGGCCAGGGAGCAGCGATCGCTGCTCGGGAGCTGTCTGGGTATCGGTCGGCGGGTGGTGATGCATTGTGCATCACTTGCTTTGTATATTATTATTGTTATTATCATTATTATACTGTTGTTATTACCATTACTGTTGTAGTTTATTTCAATTATTAAACTGTTCTTATCTTAACCCAGGAGTGTTTCTCACTCTTACTCCTCCAATTCTCTCCCGCATCCCATCGGGGTAGGGGGAGCGAGTGAGCGGCTGCGTGGTGCTTAGTTGCTGGCTGGGGCTAAACCACGACAAATGCACACAGCCCAAGATGCACTCTGTGCTGTTTTATCTGAACACCTCAAACAGCCAGAAGTATCACAGGCTGAACCGATTATTTTATGAGCCTGCTTCTACTGCCTTCATTCCTGTGAGTCCTACCTCCTTCCCCAGGCACACTACCAATACCATCATGCAACAGAGACAGGCACCTCTGGTCTCTTGGCAGATGCACTTACATGACCAGACAAGAGTCAAAGCACACAAGCACCTGAGCACCAGAAAACACTATAATCAAATCAATCCACTTCTCATTAGGCATAAAAATTTACATTTCTAATAAAACAATTGACTTTTTATTTTTAAACCTACGTAATTTGCAAATACATTAAAATAGAATAAAATTTCTAAGTTCAATTGATCAATCACCTGTTTCAGATCACTTTCAGAAAAGCACATCTTGCATTCCGCTGACACACAAGCATTATCCTCATCAACTGCATTTCAGTATTCACTCACATATGTTATCATAGAACCTCTCACAGATAAAAATGGTTCAAGTGAAAGACTTATATGGTCTGAAACTAGCTTTAACCTCATTGCCTATCTCCTTCCAAAATTTCAGAATGCCGATATGCAGGAAATTCATGATGTTACGTAACACTAGAAAAAGGCACTAAGTGGAAAAGTACTGCAAACAAATTATCCAAAGTCCAGTCGTTACCTTAGAGACCTAAATTCTTCAAAGGAATAACTGAAGGGGAATCACCTCAATTCAAAAGGCCAAATTTTGTTGTAAGGACTAGTGATGTTACCTAAAGCAGGGAGACAGGGAGACCCTTCCTTCCAACACAGAAGTAATTTCTAGTACTGTTTGATCTACTTTATGCATACCATTTTGTTTCCTCTTCAGCCAACCTCCAGCTGCTACTAAGATATCAACCACCACCTCTTCTTGCCAAGTGTATGGAATTTCCTACCAAACTCATGCCCAAATTTTAAATTAAGAATACTCAAGTGTTCTGGTTTCAGCTGGGATAGAGTTCATTTTCTTCCTAGTAGCTGGCAGTGCTGTGTTTTGCATTTAGGATGAGAATAATGTTGATAGCAACAACTAAAGCATCAGTATGTTAAGTACTGCTTATGCTAGTCAAGGACTTTTCCACTTCCCATGCTCTACCAGGTGCACAAGAAACTGGGAGGGGGCACAGCCAGGATAGTTGATCCAAAAGGGCTACTCCATATGATGTCATGCTCAGTATATAAGCTGCGGGGAGTTGGCTGGGGAGCGGCGCCCGCCGCTTGGAAACTGGCTGGGTATTGGTCGGCGGGTGGTGAGCAATTGCATTGTGCATCACTTGCTTTGAATATTATTATTACTGTTATTAACATACTGTTATTATTACTACTACTATTTTACTTTATTTTATTTCAATTATTAAACTGTTCTTATCATCTCAACCCAGGAGTTTTTCTCGCTCTCACTCTTCTGATTCTCTCCCCCATCCCACTGGCATATGGGGAGTGAGTGAGCAGCTGTGGGGTGCTTAGTTGCTGGCTGGGGTTAAACCACGACATCAAGTGATTCATTATTTTAAGAGACCTAGGCATTCCCAGAAACACGAGCACCTTTGTAGTCTAATGAGCTGATCTAATATAAAACTATGCCATTTACTAGTAGATCTGTAATTGTCTGGATTAAAAAAAAAAAAAAAAAAAGCCAAAAAAACAGTACAGCAGACTTTGGATAAGGCAATACAGTGGATACCCAGGGCCTTTTCGTGTCTATCCACATTATTTTTCATTTGCAACTAAGCCCTTTTATCTTCACTGCTTGGCAGGAATTTGTTGGCAAGACCAATACATCTTCCAGTTTCTACACTTGCAGGAAACATTCTCTCAAGAAAAGGGGAACGAGAGATACACAGTTAATCACATCTGAATGCACAGAACAGTACTGGTTTTGAACACCAAGACACAAGTTATACAGACAATTCCCTATGAAGCCATCCTGTAGGTACTAAAAATATTATTATGGTATTCCAAACTGAGCTATGCACATTACACCCTGCTTCAAAGAAGTGATTCAGTAAAAAGACGTGGGTGGTTCTATGGAATTAAAAGCTCAATATCAAGAATAGCTGCACTAAGATCAAATTGAATGATGTACAAAATTGCACGTAACCTTATAGCACAGAATGGAGACGCGTAAGAGAACTCAGAAAAGGAACAAGAGTGAACAAAGTTCACACAAATAATAGAACCCTTACACAGAAAAATAAAACATTGCAGAAATAGCAATACAAGGACTCTTTCACTGTGGAAGGGAAAAGATGACTCAAAATATCTTCTTTCTCAAGGTCCCTTCCAACCCAAAGCATTCTATGATTCTATGAAATGGAAGATTATTTCTAATACAAATCCATTCTGTGCCCTCCAAGTAAAGAGTTGCAAAATAAAAACAATGTCACCTGTGCTCATAAAGCAATCCTTGCACTAAAAAACATTCAATAAATTTCTCCATTTTAGTGCTCTCCAATGCACTTTCAATTTCAGACCATAGAGTAAACTTTTGAAGACTAAAACCCTGGTACTAAAGAGAATATCATTTGCATCTCAAACATTAAAATTTTCCTTATGTTCATTTACTTTGCTGAAATATCATTTCAGGTCACCTATGTAACATGGTAGAGCCTCTTTCCACTCCACCCCTCTATAGTGTGAACTGGCTGCTATTTCTATGTTTTTCTTTCAGTATTCTCAATGACAAGGTTGAATTAAAAATATACCATTCTAAAATCTGTAAAAGTTGATTCTATAACAAATCTAGTAGGATATCTATTGCCCTTGACAGTAATTCTAGAGTTTGCTTGAAAAACACATTAATAAGTACAGCACCTTTAATTTATTAAGGTAGCGCCTTGTGTGAACAACCAAGAGATCTTCATCAGTAGCTTCCCGTGCCTGTACAATCAAGTCATCTGCAATTAGTTTTTCTTCTGAAACAGGAGAGAAATAACAATTGGCATTGTATACCATTGTGTAACTTCCCATATTCCACCCTGCAAAAGAAGCTACTTTGACCTTGATGTAATAACTTCATCTGTAATGTAAATCACTGAAACGATTTTTGTTTACAAATGTTCCAAATACATACCCTCTATACATGTAAACTATTAAGTTATTGTTTATATGATAAATATTGTTTACAGAAAGTTTGCAGTGTGTAATCATGGTAACGTCTTGTTCAAACTAAAAGAAAAGACAAGGAGTGACAGAGGATGGACAGACACAAAAGAATCCTTACAGTCTAAGGCTTGATACACTGGGAGTGTCTTGGTGCTCATACCATCAAATATTCACTCTTTAACATGCTTTAAGAAATTCCACATTTGATACTAGTATTTAATTGCCTAAATCAAAGGAGAATAAAAAAAAATCAAAATTATAAACAAAGTAATTGCTTGGATGTTCATAGACACAAATGCTTACAGTTAGGATATTTCTGTCACACCCTTACCTCCATTTAATTTCAAGAAATACCAATGACCAGCTATTAATTCTTCCCCATAGAGACCAAAAGACAGTTTATTTAAAATCCTAGTTTTGTAAGAGCAAGTTACAAAATATCACTCCAAGATTTAAGAACATGATCAAAGACAGTATGTTCAAATACATACATCTGGATATACTTGCCAGAAAGTTCAAATTAGGGTCAACTAAAAAAGCCAAGCAGTGCAGAAAAACAATGTTGCTTTGCATATGATCACTACAAACAACAAATATAAGGCACCATGCTGATCTTCCCAGACAAATTTTGATCTTTAATTGCTACACGGCAGCAGCCTTTTAAGACTGTACTTTTTCTCCAATTTTATACTTGGAGGAGGAAGAAAACAATTCACAAATGTGTAACACTTCAGAACAAAATCTCTCACAAGAACAGCACCTGCAACAATATTTGTTTTGGCAAGCTTATGTTTCTCCTGACTGAGGCTTGAGAAACATTTCATTCATTCATTGGTGCCAGACAGAAAGCCAAACTGCTAACAGTCAGTTTCGTTCTTGAGGAAGGAGAAGGTTAAGTGTAGAAAGATTTTTCACTGGTGATTTTCTAGACGATGATAGGGAACAGTGTAGGTTAACTGTTGCCAGGAGTTGCTACAGAGCCACAGAAAGCCAGGAGCACCCTAGGGTACCTGTGGCTTCTTTCTGCTTTACAAAGCAAGGAGAGTAAAATGATTGGGAAAACTAATTTTCTGTGGAAGACTGAGAGTAAAGAGTGGACCCTTCACACAGAAAAGACCTAGAGGAAAACACTTTAGACAGAGAAGGAGCAGAAAGGCAAAGGTTTTGATTAATTAAGAAAACAGTCATGGAACCCAAGACTTAATTATTTAAGGTTGTTAGAGGGAAGATCCAAAACTCAGCTACTAAATGGAGCGTTAGAATTAGGTTAACCTCAGTTAAATGAATCCAAGGCAGCCTAAAGTTGGAAGGGCAATACTTAACTGCAAGTTGAAGGAGTCGTTAGGACCAAATAAATGGAAGAGGCCTGGCTCTCGGACAACCTTTGTCTTGGCAAGAGAAAAAGCCTTTTTTTTTTTTTTTTTTTTTTTTTTTATTTTAACTTGATGAGCAAGCTTAAACTTTAGATGAAGAGATGCCAAGATTTTATAGGCCCTGATCTTAACAGTGGTTCTTATATTTGTATTTCCTTAATGTCTTTCTGCCTATATCTTCCAATTTGTTTAAACAGCAATAATGAGCACCATCACAAAAAGTTCTGCCTGCCTGTGTCTCAAAACTCTTCCCAAACATTGTAAGAATATCATGAGGTTGATAAAGAATGGATTTATACAAGCTGCACTTATCTTTCACCCTGAAAAGTGCCATTTGCCAGTAGACTGTCTGCAGTCTAAGTTGAAAAACTAAGTTACACCCCACAGCAAGCCGGTCAGTAACACCTGTAGTTTCACAAGCCAGTTCTCTGTACAACAGGTGTAAAGCAATGGAAGCACGAAGCTATAGGAAGCTAGACACAGTACTCCCAAACTGCAATTCAGGTCTTGCAAGCCAAACCATTTGTAAGTGTGCAGCTAATATAGGACGGATTTTCCATTCATTGCTACAAAACTGAAGTCTGTGTTCTGTTTTAGATCCAGGGTTAGTCCTCAAAAGAAAGAAGAAACTGAAACTGCAAATGGCACCTATCCTCAAGGGAAACTTTAATGTATGAGAACAAGATTTCCTTTATCTAGAATTGAAAGAAAGTGCCTGAATCATTAAAAACCTGTTGAGTATCAAAACATGACATGCTGAGCTACGCCCACAAGGCTCCAGCATTCTGCACCTAACTTGGGCTAGGCTGAAAGTCAAGATTCTGGTGCTCACATCAGAGGTGGAAACATTTCTCAAATATCCCACAAGAACATTTGTTGTAAAGGCCAAGCAATGAAATTCACTTCATGCTTTCATTCAAATTGCAAAGACCAGTAATATTTTAAGATAGTCTAAGACATTGCTATGCTCACGTTTCTCCTTACTGCTTTTTACTCAGAGTCTTGTAATGCCAGACTGCAATGAACCAAACTAGTTACTCTGACCAGTATTATTCATGCCTCTGGGAAAAGGAAATCACTTAATGAGTTTGAATTTTCAATCACGTTTCACTCTGCACAGACACCATGACTGAGCCAAAACCAAAACTGTGGGTTTATTTAGTGGAGCAAGCTAGAACATACATTTTCAAAGGACTGTGAAACAAACTTTTGTATTGAAAAGCCCTAGTCTAAGATGTTTGCTCTAACATTACAATTTCATCTTCTAAATATTTCATAGGCAAGATCTTCAACGATGTTTAACACACAACATCCAACTCACCTCAGAAATCCTACAATTTAACTTGCTAAGATTTAAGTCTGCAAATATATAAAAATACTAAAGTACTCCAAATATGATTAAAGAGTGTAGCTTAAACCCACACAATGAGCAATGACGATGTACAGTCACTATTATATGAGCAATTATTAACATAAGGCTGCACTAACTACATAATTTCTACTAGGTTTTGTGCAAATGTTGGTCTAAGTTATTTTACCTTTCAAGAAATTGATTACTTTTCCCCATTTCCCCGCATCGAAGGGATGCAGCTTCTCAAGTCCCATGAATGTGATGTTGTAGTCTGGAGAATATACGATAGGCCAGCATGCTGATGGAGCATCTTCATACAACTCAGTACTATGAGGCCTTGAAAAGCAAAAAGCAAACTAGTCATCATTTTTAGCAACTATTTACAAAGTCAGATGTTTTTCACTTTTCAAATTACAAATTAGAATCCCTACAAATACCAACTTTACATTAGGAATGATTCTTGAAGATGCTATTTTCCATGGTTACTGAAGGAAACACTTGGTTGTTTAACTGCTCTTCAATGGTAGGGTCAGGGAGAGTAACATCTCTCACTTCCAGCCAGTACAGTTGAACTCTTGAACTAAACAGCAGTGGGGAAAGAATAACTGAAGACTGAAGAATGTACCTAAATGAATTATGCATATGAAGTTCACTGCAGACATTAATTAATGGAAACAATTGCTTCTCTCCCCTCGTCTCTCCAAGTTCATCAAGCAGCACCTCTATCTTAGAAGGTGCATCTGGTTTTAAAGACAACATAACCTTCAACAAACACATTACTAGATGCACATTTTAAAGTCTGTATCAAAACATAATGGAAAAAACCAAACCACACTGCTCCTACACATGATGCTTTAACAACATAAGGTTGACAAGATTTCTAGGATTCTTTCTTAGGAGCAACAGATTTTGTGACCAGCTGAGAAAAAGTAAAGAGGCTTGATTTTGTATCTGCATAGCATACAACCACAGGACATACTCTCAACTTTAGATCTCGTGCCTGCAACCCTTAACCAATACTTTCCTTTACCTGCCCTCTAAATTCTTATATTCTCCAAACACAAGGAGAGATGGCACAGCCAGCTCCAAACACAAGGAGAGATGGCACAGCCAGCTCACGGTCCTCCTTCACAACCCATTCCCAGAAAAGGCAAGCAAGCAAGCAATGCTGTGCTCTGCATTTACAAATGCGCAGACTATTTGGTGGACACCTGTGTGCACACACAGGTCAAGGGGCAAGTCAAACCCGTGAGGTGATTCAGTGTTCACACTCAGCCTATTCCACCAGCTGTGGCCTCCCTTCTCTGCCTCAATCCCCGTGTTACTGAGTTATGCTGAGACCTCTCTTGCTCCCCAAAATTTAGCAGGAACTTGCAAAAGGCTTTGCAACTTACTGAGCAAGACAGAAGAGTCTTTTGTCAGGTGAACAATACAAACAGAAAGCCCCTTATTTCCAGCCCAAATATGATCAAAAATACCCTTTTAAAATCCAGTTAAAAACAAAACAAAAAACCAAACACGTAGACAATGGAGGTTTTTCACCAGTCTGCAGTCCCGATCCCCACACACCACCCACAAACAGAGCCAGGGCTCCCTGTATCCTTCGCTCGCCCCACCCGGCAATGAAAGGCAGCTTTTGTAAAATGCGATGTGCCACCCCGGGCCGCTGCGCCTCTCCCTGCCCGTCAGCAGGGACCGGGGAGGGGGAAACACAACGACGACGTTTCCCCGGGGTCTCCCCCGGGCGCTCCCTCCCGGCGGCCCGCGGCCCGCTTACAGCGGGACACCTCACGACCCAGGCGGGACGGGGACGGAGCTGGCCCCGCC